GTTCGGGTTTGGATTCGAAGGTGAAAGCGACATTTTCTCGTTATAACTTCTTAAATCATAAGGTTGTTCCATAAGTTCCCTTCGTTTTCACTTTACATCCAAATGGCTTCCGTTTTCCTCGACTCCCAGAAAAAGCTCTGGAATATCTTTTGACGGAGGAAAGCAAGCCTGCAATGTTTTATACTGAGAAAAATTCAAAATCCAAAACCTCCAGAATTTCAAAAACTTGAGAAAAAATCAGAACGTCAGAATTTTAACTGATCAGAATCTTTTTTCATGCGAACTCTGTGCAAATGCTTTGGGGGCTTTGTAGAGCTTGCCTTTGCTCTATCGTAAAATACCTCAAAACCTTTCTGCTAGTCAAGAAAATGTGGGATTTACTGGAATGAAAGTGAAGACGGACGGAACTTAAGGGACAGACTGACAACTTTGCCTACAGAATAGCATGAGAGCTTGTTCTCACCTTAGACTCATCCAACTCCTGCTTCGGCTTCATGGCTTTTTGGCAATGGGTTTAGACAATTTTAACACTGCTTCAGCAAGCGCCAACATCACTAACGCCATCACCTCGCCGACGCGGTTCGGTTGTTGCTTGTGAGCCATCAGAACATCTGTTTGTCAAGGTTTCTTACTATCTGCTTTTATGATCTAGAAATTATCGTCCATTAGCCTTTTTTTGAGAATTGCAAACTGCTAATTTAGGACATTCCATCATATTGTGCGCAGTGCGGTCTTTGTTCCGCACGTGGTGCCGCTTGCCCATTACCAGCTTTTACAAGGAAAACCGGCACATGTACTTGTGGACCGGGTGATACCACTTGCTTAAGGTTGTCTTTACACTTTCCCTACCCGGTCCCTTTCATAAAAACATCCTGTAGGTGTGGGTTATGTCGTGCATGTGGTGAATCTTCTCAGCAGCAGCCAAAACCTTCCAGTGACACTCCAACTAGGACTCATCTCGCTCCAGCCCGAGTGACGATTGTAAAAAATCAGGTCAACGTAAAGGTAAAGCTAAAAATTGCGCCTCTTTTCTCACTGGTCGGGAAAATCGATTTTCAGGTCTCATCGGTCAGCTGCGGAAATTTTCACACGATTTTGTTAGCTGCTGATGGAAGCGTCTTTTCGTTTGGATCGAATTGCCACGGGCAATTGGGTACGGGGGATGTCAGAAGTAAAACCGAGCCTCAACTAGTGGGTATTATTCCTTGTAAGTTCTTCTTAATTTACAGCATATTTCAGGTTGTACTACCAGCTGATGTGCAAGTCGTGCAAGTAGCCGCTGGGGCTAACCATACCGTACTACGGACGTCTTTAGGAGCTGTGTTTACCTTTGGCGCACATAAAATGGGACAATTGTTGAGGTACTTTGCTCAGTAGGCTTTTTAACTGCACTTACTATCACTTTCTGAATTTTGAATTCTCAATCTTGCCAGACCGGCCGAAGATGAGAGCCATTGGCACGCGACTCCAGGCCGAGTGCCAGGATTTGGCCCAGGCTGTGAATCTTTCGCTACTTGGATTGGAGCTGTAGGCGATGCTACTCTTATTCACAGCCATACGTCATTATTGCATTCCGATGATGTGATAGATGCTCAGCTGGTGGCTAGTAAGGTGAGAAATCCAAATAGAGTTTGAACCAAGCACTTATACTATTTGTGATGTTGTGATTAGAATGTTAGAAGGTCGACGTCGAACCCGGGGATGAATTTTATGTCATTAACACCAGCAGCTGAATAACTTTTTCTCGGGAAAACGGTGGGGCAAAAATTTGGAGTTCCAAGTCTTTGACAACTCATTTTTCCGCAAGTTGATAACATTGAATGAAAGCGGTTAGATGTGAAGCAAGCAGAGCTTCCCACAAGATTGACTTTTCTGCAAAATTGCTAAATCATTCCCTTGCAATAGGAAGAACTTATCACAGTTTCAGGAAACATTTTTTGAAAGTTCGCGGCTTATTCTTAAGCCTTCCTCTTCCTGCTCCCCCTCCCACTTCTCTTTCTGTCTTTCCCTCTCAGTCTTCGTCGCCCACGTATCCATTATCGTTTGTATTGTCTTTATATCAAAACATGCATTACAATATTTTCAGTATGACCTCTTCATTTTCCCACGCCAAGTTGGTAAAGAGTATGTCGCAATCCGCAGGAAAAATGGATATTTCGCACACCATCAGCTTGGTCCGTCTGGTCTGTACACGAGGTTTGCGTTAACATACCCACGGACATAGTTTTTATTAGCTAAATCATCATCCTATCTAGTTGGTGCCTGGAATCTCAATATGACATCCTGTGGTCGTACAATGCTGCTGAAGTGCGAGTACAAGCTTACTCCATACACCTGGCCACTCCAAATGAGGTAACGT